TATTGTAAGCTGAACATCACAAATTTTGCAAGGGGTAATTATCTGACCAACTATCGTTTAGGTTATAATGGACCAAGACTTTTGTGTGTAAAATAAGCAAATTAGAATGGCGTAAATGTTTACTCCGGTAAAATATGATTCCTGAAATATGTCAGGGTAAGAAGGAGGAGGAGCTGTTGACCTCTAATCGATTAAGAGGGTAAAAATGCTATATTCATGATATGCAAAAATAAGAATTCAGTGGTAGTTGTGTAGGGTGTCATATGGCTCCTTCCGATTCCCGCTCACTGTTTTTGTTTTTTAATTCCACGCCTTGTTTTTTTATTTTTTTGCTAATATAGATACTGCTCCGGGAAAATTTCCGGAGATATATTAAATTTGTCATTTCGCTGGCAAGCCATGATCGAGATTGCAATACTTAAGATATAAGATGGGATATACCGGTCCTCCGTTGTGGTATAGCTCCCAAAACAAGGGGTCTTGCCATAATTTCAGTGTTTGCATACACCAACCGAAAGGGCCGAAGATTGGCATTGTGACATTTTTTGTGGTCATATATCAATACAGAATTTATAGGTTCAGAATTTTATAGGTTCGGTATTTTGAGGACTACTTTTTTCCATAAAAGTGACTGTGACTGTGCATCAAACATCATGGATGCACCACGATGAATAAAAATCTTCAATTTTGATAGGAATAGGAATATAAAAATTTATCAAAAGATCATAAAACGATATTTGTAATTCCTAGAAAATCATGGAATATTACATTTTATTTAACAGACATTTTCTATTACAGAACCTAGTTTGTTTCATTCTCCTACCACAAATTTGAACATTTTGAATATCTCCCTTACCCATCTTACTAAACCTATTTGACTAATTTCCATATTTTTGCTTTTGTTTTTCAATATTTGTTTCACTCATTGTTGTGAAGTATTGCAAAACTAAAGCATAATAATCATCTTATGTAAAATATACACTAGTGAATAATATTTGTTTTTTTTTTCTTTTAGAAAATTTTTTCCTGTTACATAGTTGTTGCTTTCATTACTGTTATGGACATTGTTCTTGCCTTTTATATTCTAAATTCCAGTTTTGACCCTTTTGTGTAATTCTCATCACATTATAATATTTTGTTGGTAGCAACACACACACAGTGGGCCACAATTGTGTTTACTTTCGTATGATGCCTTCCATTATGGTCCAGTGTGATTTTACTCACCGCCCTTAAGATGGTTAGCTCTTTGAAATCTCAAGTATATCATAATAACTTGGCCTAAGTGTTAAAGTTGTTGCTTTTCCTTTTGTGAATTTTTGTTTTTCTTATTTTTCGTACTTTTTCTTTTTGGTCATCCTTAAGAAATTCGGATTTTTCCTTTTGTGTGGCCCTATTACTGTGCTGTGCTAAAATTCGGTAGTGTCATAATAAGTTTCAACCTGGGAAAAGAAATCAACAAAAAATGAAAAAAAAACATGAATAAATGCCGACACAAAAGTATTCCCATTTTCACTTCTATTCTAATTTCACAAATTGTTGTAGTGAGTGAGCCTGGACGATTTTGTATGGTGTGTGCCGTTGTTGTTGCTGCTGCTTCCATTGTTTGCATTTTAGTGTTTGAATAAAATGCACCAGGGATTGTAGTTTACATTTCTTTCAGTTGTTTTTTTTTTCTAAGTTTTACATTTAGTGAAAAAACAATGGCCGGTCATGGTTGAAGTGTGATGAAAAGAAAATAAAAATGCAGCGAACAGAAATTTTTTTGAAGAACTTTAATCCTAAATGGACCCCCAATGGCAGAGTGGGCGATTTATCCTTAAAACGGTTATGAGGTTTTGGAGAAGGAGTCATTTATATAATGTTATATATTCATCCAATTTATATATCAAAAATTGAATAAAATACAAACTAAATGATATTAATTTAAAATCAATATTCACATTTTGTATTACAGTCGAACTTCCACAAGTCGAAGCAAATGTAGAGTTATTAACACTAAGGAGGCAAAGTATAATTAATTCTGAATTCCTCATAAATTGATTTTTTCGCATAATGTTGTTAGTTATGCAAGTTCGACTGTATATATTTTAGTCCTAGTATGTGTATTCATAAAAAAATATAAAATAGAAATTATAATAAAAGATTACACATCTTTGTCAGAATATATAATATTTATGCAAATAAGGGCCTGTTAGATTGATGCCCAGCTCTTATCCCCCAGGGGAGTAGAAAAATTGCAAAGAAGGAAACAAAAGGATTACATCGGAAAACTAGAAAAAATATTCTGTGGTTTGAGTGAAGTAACTTTTTTGGCGTCGGTAGGTGGTGCTGAGAAAAAATTTTGATACTTTATGAATTTATCAAAACTTGTCCACTTTTTATAAAAATTTCTTCACTATAATTGATAAAAGTATAAAAACGTGCTTTAAATCTCCAAATTTGAGAGGAACCGTATGATATAGTAACATTATATTAGCGTCACATTATTATGGGGATATCGTGATATCGGACCTAACCCCAAAACTAAGGTTAATATTGATTAAAATTATCAATCTTGACTTTAGTATGGTAAGTAGATTTTCGACTCAATGGCAATCGAAATTTCAAATTTAATGACATCTAAAAAGTTGGTGCCAAAAATGCATAAAATACCCTACATAGCTATGCTGTCAGGGTACTATAGCTTTGTGCAGACCCAAGCCGCGAATTATTGGTCCTAGATCCACCTTTGTGCACTGATCGTAATATCTCGATTAGCTGAATCGATATAGACATGTGTGTCCGTCCGTCTGTCGATTATAATTTGTAAACACAATATAGGTCACTGTTATGGACCAATTGAATGGATTCTGACCAAAGAAGACCCCTAGTTTGTTGGTAATGAGATGTTAAAAAACCAAAAAAAACTTTATTTTTGTCTGTCCGAACACCACCACGAAATGTTTCACCAGGAAGGAATTTTGGCCCATAAGCATTACTGTTTTAATGCAGAATAAGCATTAGTGTTTTGATGAAGCTCGGTCAATATTTAAGAAGATTGGTCAAAAAAATCCAGACTTTTGTGTGAAAAAAAATTACAATTTTTTTCCAGAGAAATATATATTTATATCCAAGAGGAGTGGTTGAAATTAAAATTGATGTTGTTGGACTACCTATTCGGATATTGTTCTGTATTACAATAACCTAGTAGGGAATTTCGCTCTGATGGCTTGGAAATTTTGCAATTTTCTGTTATGGTCAAGGACGACGTTTATAATTTTTGGTGGTCGGATTATATGTAAAGGATGTACCAAAAACTTAATTTTTGTATGCCGAACATAACAACACAACACACGGGGAAGGAAATCTGACTAACCAATTAGAAGAGCTATTTTGGTAATGATTGGTCAATATTCAGTGGGTTAAATTAACCAAGATTTTTCTATGTAAAATGCAAGGTTCACCCCAAAAAATCAAGGTTCGGAAAACATACTACGGTAAGAAAGAGCTCTAATCGGTCAAATATAGCGAAATAATGCCAAGACTCGGAATAAAGATCCACAGAAAGTATGAGTTTCGTGGTAGTTGTGTAGGCTATCATATGGTCGGACCCGTCCTACCACAATGCTTCGCACTGGCTCAATAGAAGACATGGATTTTTTAAAAAATATTTTTTCAGAAGACGTGGAATTTTTAAAAAATATTTTTTTCAGAAGATGCGAATTGTTTAAAGAATATTTTTTCAAGGCTTAAACGAAGACGTGATTTTTTTAAAGAATATTTTTTCAAGGTTTAACAGAAGACGTGGATTTTTAAGGGCAATTTTTTCAGGACAGTATATATCTTCAAAGACGAGCCAAATCCAACGAAAGGTGTGCTCTTTATTAATTCTGAGCGGTAGAACAAAATTTGGTTGCCAGAAGACTTCGGAGGAATTCGAAAAACAAACGTTGATGAACCAGCCGCGGTGCAGTCCTGATTTGGCACACCAAGAATAACTTCTATTCTCGCGCATCATGAAAAACAATCAACGATTTTTTTTTTCGCCAGAAGCCTACAAACCTCATGTTTTGGATGTGTTTTTATCTGAGTGGAAAAGGTGTTTCGAGAATTGGATTTAGAGAAAATTTCTTTCTGGAGAAAAATTCGAAAATAATGAAAATTTTTTAAAGATAAAAATTTGCTTTTTCATATCAAAGTTTTGGATATTAATTGATTGAACATAAAAAATAAATATTAGGGTTGTTAAAAATCGATTTTTTGCGGCACCACATCTGTAACATTTTTAAATATTTAGCATAATTTAAAAATGTCATCATGTACCATTAAGGCCTCATTGCTTTGAAAACTTTGATGCTTAACCTATTTGGGTTTACTGGAATTTAAAAACATTTTAAACAACAGTGACATGTCCTAATTGTCCTAAAATTTTGCCAATTTTAAAATTTAACAAACTAAAAAATTGAATGTAAATTAAAATTCTACATCATAATAATCTAGTGGTTTCAAATTCATTTCTTACCTATTCTTTGTTGGAAAACAAAAGAAAAAGGTTAAAAAAAATATTTTGTATATTTGTAATGGATTATAAATTAATCCTACTATATAATACTTGTATTTACGGTGACCAAAAATATTCCTTGGTTTCTTAGATTAATATGCACTTCATAGAAACTCCAACATTTAAAAAATTGATGCATAATTTCCCACATTTTCAAATAAACTATTCAGAGAATTTTAATCAATAGTAGCTTTACATTAATTTACTTAATTTTCCATTTAAAATTTCTTCACACCAGGTCTAACACTTTTTTCCCATTTCCATAGGAAATGGGTGTAATAATTGTGGTTTATTTTCTCATTTATCCATTATGCAAATTAAAAATAACACCCCAACCCACGCGAAAAACAGTCACACCTTGTAATTTCATTTTCAATGAAATGCCATGAAATAAGAAATTCGAACTTTTGAATTCAATAAAATTGAGTGTGTGTGTGTGTGTGTTCGTGTGTGTACTCACCTTGCGACCAGCCTGCTCGTAAGCTGGTAAAAATGCAGCAAACGATCCCTCCAGCATGTCGGGGTTACCGCAAATGGCATGCGATGTGTCACAATAGTAGGAGCATTTGCCATGGAAGCACAAATTCGATGAAGGTGAAACAAAGAATGTCTTTAAAAGATTCTCATCGGCGACTTGATAAATTTCCGTGGTTATGTTTAACAAACGACCCGTCACTGGCATTGCACGGCGAAAACCTAAAATTCTGTTTTGCGGTAAAGCAAAGAGAGGCGTTGAGGGGCGGGAGAAACGAAGAAGACGAAGAAGAGAAAGAGAATATAAATGAAAGTTATTCTAGATATTTATGTCAAATGGTTGGCGAATGAAGCACATAAAAGTAATGGTGAGAAAATGAATGTAAGAGGATTACATCGTTTTAGGTATGTATGTATGCATATATGTGCGAGAGTGGGTGTGTGTTCAGTTTGAAGTTATAAGTAAAATATAGAACAATCTCAACCCTTTAAGTGTAAATATAAAAAGAAATAGACAGTTTTTCCCAATAACTTGCTGGAAGGTTTCTAAAGTTTCAAGGTTTTTCATGGAAGTTTATGTGGTTAGAAATTGGTAGATATTTTGTTTAAGATATGAAAATTTTAAAAAAAGTTTTGTTGCTCTTTTAAATAGAATGTCAGTATTTGTTAGGTTACGTTGTTTAACTTTTTAGAATAATTTAAAATGTTTTTGAGAGAAAAAAAAACAACAAAAATTTTTTAACGCTGGATCTATACATTCAAATATGATACAATTAAAAATTTTAAATATTATTAAAAATAGTGATATAACATATTGTGGTGTAATGCTTAGTAATGAATGCCGTTCGTTGTTTAATCGTAATATTCGCCACATGAACAGTTTTTCGCTACGAACAACTTTTGTTGGATTCAAAGACCAACACTAAATATTTCTATTTTGTTTGGGCCTAATATCCATAGATCCACGATTCGGCACTCTTATGAATTTTAAACGATTTCGAGCGAATCTAATGCATAAATAAATTCTGGATATTAGTATTTAAAACCCACCCCCTTATCTTGAAGAAATGCTAGAAAATATTTAAAAAAGAGCATTCGATTATTTCTTCAAAAAAAAAAAAAAAAAACAAATCAAGCTTATATCATTTTTTTATTAAAAAGTACGCAAATAGTATCCCTTCAAAAGATTTTTTTTTAAATCCATGCCTATAACTTGTAGACACCTTCGAAAATACACACTTGAAAATATTGTTTAATCGCCTACAGCTCGAGTGTTCCTTCAAAAGATTTTTTTAATCCACACCTGTAGTTACAAAAAAAAAATCGCCTACAGCGCGAGTGTTCCTAAAAATTATGTAAAAAATCCACGCCTATAGCTTAAAAATACCTAGCCTATAGCTCGAATGTTTCTTAAAAAGTTTTTTTTTAATGTATGCCCACAGCTTGAAGAGAAGACCCTCGAAAATATTATTTAGAGAAATCCAGGTTAGTAGATTGAGACCCTCGAAAATATTATTTAAAAATCGACGCCTACAGATTGAAGAGACCCTCGAAAATGTTATTTAAAAATCGACGCCTATAGATGGAAGATACCCTCGAAAATATTATTTAAAAAAAAATCCATGCCTATAGCTTAAATAGATGCTCGGAAATATTTTTTAACAATGTCCAAGCCTGTAGCTCGAATATTCTTTGAAGAAAATATTTAAAGCGTCCTCCCCTGAGCTCGAGTATTTTTTTCAAGAAAATATTTAAATATATAGCTCGAATATTCCTTCAAAAACATATTTTAAAAAATCCACGCCTATAGCTCGAATATTCCTTCAAAAACATATTTTAAAAAATCCACGCCTATAGCTCGAATATTCCTTCAAAAACATATTTTAAAAAATCCACGCCTATAGCTCGAATTATCCTTCAAAAACATATTTTAAAAAATCCACGCCTATAGCTCGAATATTCCTACAAAACCATATTTTAAAAAATCCACGCCTATAGCTCGAATATTCCTACAAAACCATATTTTTAAAAATCCATGCCTATTGCTCGAATATTCCTTAAAAAAATATTTTAAAAAATCCACGCCTATAGCTCGAATATTCCTTCAAAAACATATTTTAAAAAATCCACGCCTATAGCTCGAATATTCCTACAAAACCATATTTTAAAAAATCCACGCCTATAGCTCGAATATTCCTACAAAACCATATTTTAAAAAATCCACGCCTATAGCTCGAATATTCCTTAAAAAAATATTTTAAAAAATCCACGCCTATAGCTCGAATATTCCTTCAAAACCATATTTTAAAAAATCCACGCCTATAGCTCGAATATTCACTCAAAAAATGATGTCAAAAAATCCAGGCCTATAGCTCGAATAGTCTTTCAAAAAATTATTTTCACAAATCCACGCCTACAGCTCGAATATTCCTTCAAAAAGTTATTAAAAAAATCCACCGCTTTAGCTCGAATATTCCTTTAAAAAATTATCCACGTCTATAGCTTGAATATTCATTCAAAAATTTATTTTAAAAAATCCACGCCTGTAGCTTGAATATTCATTCAAAAATTTATTTTAAAAAATCCAAGCCTGTAGCTTGAATATTCCTTCAAAAAAAAATATTTAAAAAACCACGCCTATAGCTCGAATATTGCTTCAAAAAATTATTTTAAAAAATTCACTCCTATAGATCGAATATTCCTTCAAAAAATTATTTTAAAAAATCCACGCCTATAGCTCGAACATTCCTTCAAAAAAAAAAAAAAAAAAAAAAATTATAATTCCACTCCTTAAGCCCGAATATTTCTTTAGCTCAAAAATTTCACGCCCATAGCTCCAATATTCCTTAAAAAAAATAATTTAAAAAACAAGCCTATAGCTTGAATATTCCTTCAAAAATAATATTTAAAAAAATCAAGGACTATTCCCAATTTAAATCCAATATATATTTAAAGATATTTCGTGTAATACGTCTTAATCTCCATTACCCAAAAAATGTCATTCTTCTTTGAATACAAAATAAATAAAAAACACAAAACAAAAAAATACATTAGCTTTCAGGCTGGTAGCTTTTCATTTTTTGACACTTAAGTAAACATACATTTGGTAATAGAAACCACATTGGGATTTGTAGGTTTCTTAACGTTTTTTTGTGACATTTTCTTCGTAGCGTTTTTCTTACTATGCTGGCCATGTCTTGTATTTTGCACCCAAAAAAACCGAAAGAAAACAAGAACAACAAACGGCCTTGTTTGTTAAAGTCACAAAAGTACATAACACGATCCAAATTTTTTTTCTCTCTGTCTTTGGAGAAAAAATAAGAAAACAAGAACAACAACTAACACCACCACAAAATCGTTCAAAAATTAAAAGCTAAAAAACATTAAAAGAAGAAATGCTTCTTTTGTGGTAGAAAATTGCTTTACGACTATCATGGGTATTCACTCAAATATTTTTGGCAAAAACAAAAAAGAACGCCCAAGTCTGGCGGGAAAGGGACCTGGCAAAGTGGACTAAACGGGCGCCTCTGAATAAAAGAAACGGAAAAACCCCAGCAAAACAAGATGGCAAACCACAAAAAATATAAAGCCACAGGAAAAAAAGGACAAACGAGAACAGAAATGGAAGACAAATAGGTACGGTGATGTTGGTGACACAAAGAAATGAAAACATATTTTTTTTAGGTTGCAGGAGGAAAAAACAGAATAACAAAAATAAAAACAATAATCCTACATAGCAATGTCCTAAGAAACTAAGCAACCAAACACAAGCGAGGCAAAACATAAAGACACAACCACAACCTTAATGTTCTACCACAATGTCTATGGGAATGCTACTAAACTTAAAACACAGCCACTTAAAAAACACATTTTTCTCGTCAGTTATTTTTTTTTTCTGACTTTTTTTCTTGATGCTGCTAGAAAAATATGAAAAATTACAATTACAAGGGCGTGAGACAAAAGAATAATATTTTATTCCAAGTGTTTTCAAAACAGTGAACAAGCGAGCGAATGAACGAACGAGTGGCTAGCAACAGTCTATAATGATGATAATGCCCCGGCAGCCAGCCTCTACCACAGCCACAATATGGCGCTGGACATCCTCAAAATGTCCAGATGGCGATGATAATGCAATAAAGTAAATGTCTTAATTTTTTCTTGTTATAAACTGATTTCGTATTTCATTATTTCATTTTATGAGTAGCTGTTGTTGGTTTTGCGTTATTTTTTCTGCGACACAGCATAGTTTTAAGTGGAATGAATGTAACAGAATCCGTGGATACTTTGGGCTATAATAATATTTATTTTGTCACCATTAAACTAATAAATGTATATGCAGTATCATATTTAGGATGAAATTATGTTAATATAATTCAATTTAGTAGTCTGAAAAGAAAATGTAAATTAAATTTCATTTTTTTAAATCAAATGATACACACAACAAAAATACATAGTCTCTCATTTTGTTTAGTTTCACAAACATTTTCTTTAAATTGACTATTAGGCTGGAATTCGAATTTAAAAGCGGTAATTGATAGCACTACTGCTGAACGTGATGAAAATTACCACCCAACTATAACGTATGCCTGGCTAGGGAATGAACTATGATCAATCATAGTAACTGCTTAACCCCCCTCTTTCATTTCCCGTATTCACATGTGCTATACCTATATTGCCTAAAAGCGGTCATTTTGACATCTTGTGAAATATTAAATAATCAAACTACTTTTATTATTGTATAAAGTAATTTTTTTATATGACCAGATCAGTACAACAACATCGAAAACCGTTCGATACTCTAGAAACACAAACAAACACACAAATGGGGAAAAATAAATTTACTATTTCCAGTCGATTTCACTCTTAGAGTAAACATCGGTAACACTCTTGGAGAGTTAATCGTTGACCATGCATCGTCGAGAAGACGAGAAAAATCTAATTAATTTGGCGACTGTTCTGGTTGACAACTTAGGCAGACATTTCTGAGGAGTACGCCACAGTTTGCCTGTCTGAAGTCTTCGGAAAAGAAATTCGAACAAGAGAAGACAAATCATTATGCATCAAACCACGGCATAAACGATCGCCTTCTCGGGCGATGAAAATGTGAAATTAATGGGAACTAACCGCCCTGACTTGGCATCCAATGACTTCATTTTATTTCAATACATGAAGAAAAAATGGTTGATTAATGATGTCTCCATCGAAGTAGAACTGAGCTTGGATTGGTTTG